GCAAAAAAGGTTGGGGACCGCTGGCTTAGAGTACTAATCAGGTGGAACCAGATTATCTTCCACAGCACACCTGATCATTTCTCGCGGCACACAGTGGTTGGGAAACACTGGTCTACAAGACACAGCCCTCTGCCCTGACCTCTGTCTACACTTTCTGATGAGTTTATAATCTCACTCATTCATTTCAGGACATATGTAATAAAACATTAAGACTATATGGTAAAGTTAGGTCATTCTAAGTAAGTAGCATGAGGTTTTATCACTATAATAGATGGCTAGAACATTTTTGTGGATCAACATGGCTGTCTTGGGCCTTTACAGATCCTCGAGTCATCTAGAATCGTTATGAGGTACATTTCGTCATGAGATGATGAGCTTGATGGTTCGTGCGGCTGTCCGCGTGCCTCTATCGTCTACAGATTTTACATTACAATGCAATAACTATGCATGCACCCCAGGCAGCAGACTTCAAAGAACTACAACAGGAATAACTACTCAGCTGTGATGCATTAGTTGTCCATGTACATGCAGAGCATCATCAAGGCTTCACATTTACTTCTAACATGGAGCTAACTGTACATTTCTCAGCTAGATCCTCTCCACTGGCACATCTATTAGTTTTTAAAACTTTATGACAACAAAATTATAAACAACACAGCTGCTGCTGCTGCTGCTACACATGCACACACTCCCCATCCCTCTCACCTGAGCTCATCCGGATTGCCAATTGGTTGAGGGCTACGTAGCTTGGAGTCCAAGTTGTAGTAGACTCCTCCCACCTCTCTGACGCCTATCCAGTGCTGGCGCTTAAGCGGCAACCGGAGGGGCCCCCAGCGCAGATTGGACGGTACGTTCAGGATGAAGCCCTCCACGTTGGACAGTTCAATATTGCCAACATCCCTAAAAATATATATATTTTTAATAATAACAACAACAACAATATTAGTAACACTAATAATACATATATATTACATGACTATTTGAAAATATTTGTGTTTACTTTTTTTAAAGATTATTTTTTTGGCCTTTATTGGATGGAGACAGTGTAGATTGAAAGGAAAGTGGGGATTGAGAGAGGGGAAGACAAAGGGCTGCGGGTCGGACTCGAACCCGGGCCTACTGCTCTCCAGCCATACAGCATTTTTGTTACCTGTCATTATTTGGGCTTGCATTTACTTGAGCAATATATATATATATTTATTTTTACATTGAAACTTTCAGCTATGTTCAGATAAAATGCACTTACAAGTGTAGTCACAACACAAAGGTCCATTCTAAGTCAGGAAGTCCAGAAAAAAAAACCCTGTGATAAACCATCCGCAGTAACAATCACAAGCAAAGCTATTCAGCCATGTACAGGACATCGCAAGAGACTGCGTAGAATACCAGAGAGAAGCATTCTTGCAGCCAGAAGTTTAAACAAACCAGGGAGGCATATCCATTTTCAAATGAAACAAACAGGTTATATGGCACACATGCTTACGGCACTTCAAAGCACTCTTGATTTTTTATCAGTTCCCATTGATGACTGTAACGAACACTGTGTAACTCAACTGCGCTGACCTTTGTGCAGTTTGTGTAGCGACATGTGTTGCAAACTTTGCATCTGTCAAAATTCAAAACTGTCATTAACTGGCAAACGAAGACTGAAGTGGAAACTGTGAAGTTTTAGTGCTTGAATGCCTGCCACACCTACGCTCAGTATCAGAGCACACTTCTAAACACAGTTGACTGTACACTGATGATAATACTACACGAGGACAACGATCAACCAATCAGATTTAATAAAAACTCAGAGTTTGTGGGTTTTCTGCTCCAGAAAGAGAGCTAACTTAAACTCGGGGTCTATTATTGGAGTAACAGACTCTGAGACCGCTGGCAGGTTTTTTTCAACAAACTCTGAGCACATACTGAAATGTATTAATTTAAGAAGTTTACAAATATTATAATCCCACTGATATGTTAGCTTAGTATTTGTTCTATTTAACCTGAGTGCTTATATAATTGATCTTTTCATCTGTGATTCTGTGGACAATAAGTCATCTCTGAGGCTGTCTGGTGAGGGTTCTCGTTGAGGGACATTCACTTTTCTGGATTAAAACGAAGGCTCTGCGTTTTCTTTACCCAATGCTGGTACCTTTTTTTTTCATTACACATGCTGAACTGCTAGAAAAAACCTCAAGAGTTTTTTTTTAACCTGCTCTGTGGATCAGGCAACCAGATTTCCTTGTCTTATCAATCACTTGTCCTCTCATAAGTGACCTTATTATTTTGCTCCCTTCCAAAAATAAATGATATTTATAAATACTCCAGTTGTGGGTTGGAGCTTTTAAGCACACTTTTTTCACCGTGGTCCAAATACTTAAAAATATCTTGGCTGCGAGTGTTTACCGCATCAAAAATCCCCTGTGAGTAGAGTTATAAAAACAGCCTCAGGTCACAGGAACTTCATAAACATAACCAAAGAATAAAAAGAAGTCATGTCTTCTCTTGTCGAGAAATCCAAAATGAGAGAGCGCTTAAGTGCTAGTCCATTCATCGCGTTGTTTTCTCGCCTCAGTCTCCGGTTAACGTGCCAGCAACCGAATGTTTACAACATGTAAGCATGTAAAGCCTTAGTTACATGCAAAAAAGAGGTGAATCTTCACTGTGTTATGCCAAACAACAACAGCGCGCATCTGCAGAGCTCAAAAAGAGAAAAACAGAAATGGGTTTTATCGATATAGCAAGTCTGTGTTTGGTGCTGCTGTCAACAGTCATGTAAGACTGATAATGAAGGAAGAAGGAATGCTGATAAAACCGACTCAAACTTTATCAACCACAGGAAGCACTGACTAATCACAGGGATCACTCAGGACCCTGCTGATGAGGCGGCTGAGGTGCAGATGAAAACAAGGGGTGCCTCCTTTTTAGTATTGACAATATATGTGCACTCTAGCGAGATAAGAGAGGAACAAGTGTAAACAAGTACAGATAAGCAACAATAGACTGATTGCTTTTCTTTGGTTTGGGTTTCCTCAGCCTAACATTGACTATTTTGGGAAACAATCAGGGGTAGAAGTCATGAGGCAAATTGCAGTTACAACATAAGCAAATGGAAATAAATCTATTAAATCAATACTTCTACTAGATTAAATATGATTTATCCATGCTAAGGCTTCTTTTGTTGCTACTCCTACATACCTTCTTTTATCCCACCAAACTGCCTCAAACCCTCGGGTCTGCAGGGCTGCCATAATGACATTGACGTCATAGTTCCCGTTTCCCAGCATGCTCTTTTTGTGAGGCGTCACCATAGTGCTGGGAGAGAGCCTGCAACAAGTTGACAAAAGGGATCGTCCACAGATCACTTAGTCAGATTGTATTTATGAAACATTTTATGCACACCTTAACACTTTTAATCCACATACTGTCTCACCTCTGGTAGATCTCCTGCAGGGTGTCCCGGCTGAAGGCTGTCCCATCCTGGAAGACGTTATTGAGTGCGTGCAGGGCACACAGCTCCCGCCGTTGCTTTTCGTGATAAATGGCCGGAGGCACCAAAGAAGCTTGGGGAGGAGCTGGCGAGGTGAGTGAAGAAGAGGACGATGAGAGATCTTGCTGCTGAGTTTCCCTGGGATCCCTGGACCTCTTCTCCTCTGCTCCCACCACCGCCTCCCCTCCTCCTCCCCCTCCACTTCCTCCACCACCTTTCTGTTTGCTGACCTTCCAGGGCATGCACCCCAGCTCCTGCAGGCTGCCTCGCCCCTTCCCCTTCCACTCACCGGCTGGATACGGAGCACTTCCCATCCCTGGATGTTCACCACCGCCAGCGCTGTCGCCGCCCCCACCTCCACCGGTACCTCCTTCAGCTCCACAACTACTAATGTCAGGACACTACATGAACATCATGACAACCATTTGCGTGATAACCTCTCAGCCACTTGGAAGAGAGGAGCTTGTATTTGGAGGGAGGGTAAATGAGACCTGTGGCTCTCAAACACCGCAAAACCTTCTTTCTGTCTCTTTCCCACTAAAGGACAGATGTGCAGAAAGATCGCTATGAGTGACCAAGTATAACCAGCAAAGATACTCTAGATGCTCCAAAATGACAGACTAGTCCTCCAACAGCACAGCGGTGTCATCAATCATAGTGCCGTCACTCTTTGCGTTTTCCACTTCCTCCATCCTCTATGTGCTGACAGCTGTTTCCATCTAAAGCCTATAGCTTAGCAGGTCTTTCCATCCTCCAAGACTTGCTGACGGCAAAGCTACAGTTCCACAGGAACAGAGGAGTCACACACTGTGGAGAAAAATACAGTCATTAAGCAACTGAAATGCAAAAAATAAACACACTGTATTAAAAAGGAAAGGAAGGTCACGTGTTTTTCCTCATAATTTAGCTATTACACATAATAACACAAGTCCCCAAATCACACCTCGGATATGGTTGGTTAAAGAATAGCTGCCAAATCGGCCTAAACAACACGGTGAAGCACCACTGAATACGCTGTTACATTATTTAGAGCTTCAGTTGGTCAGCAGAGCTCAAATGAAGGGAAGGTAAACATTTCGAGCAGCTTTGAACTGGATAGAGGAAGCAAGCTGTTCACTGAGCTAGCAACATTTGACAAGAGCTACACGTTAATGTGAAGCTTACACAGCGTGAAGCTTACATAGCAAATATATTCCCCTAATAGCAGGAAAAGAAGGTTTTAATCCGTGTTAGCAGATATCTGGCGTTGTTCTTACTGCTGCTCTACGTGACTCCGTGCCTCCAGCAAACACAACCACAACGCCTCCTTTTATGATTTATAACTTCATTTTCTCTCGCCGACCACTTCCCCGCCCGTTACCTGCCGCTGGTGTCACAGCTGGGCTGCCGTAAACCGGTCAAAAACCCGAGTCTCCTCTGTCCTTTTCCCCCTAAAGGGTGCTCAGACCTTTCTCTTTGCCACTTTTTTCCTGTTGTGGCTCTCTCCTGTCTCTTTCTCCGTCCGTGCAGTCGCGGACATGCGCAGTAGCGCCTCCCTGGCTCCATATTGCTGTCACCGCCTGCGTCAGTAGACTGGAGCAGATCCTCCCCTGAGACTGCCAAAGCCTACCTTTCCCACTTTGTTCTCACCTGTAGTGCGCTTTTCATCACAATACTGCTGCACAAAGGGTTTAAATACGTATGAAAATATGTTTTACCATAGGAAACATCACCTGCTGTCTTCTTAAAGCAGTTCCAACTCTTAAACTTTACTTCATGAATGGGTCATACAAATGAGGACTGCTTTAGCCTCCTTTAGCTTATTGTTTAGCTTTGTCATTTTTGATTTAGTCTCACAACATAAAATTTGCCAGTCTGTAAATACTTAAGCTGCTTAAAAGTTAGATATTTTCCACTTGGTGGGAACTTTAAAAGAAAAAAAGCGTATTTCAGTTAAACAAACTAATGCCATATGCCTATGTCATTGTTCACTGGTTGAGCAAATTAATAGGACGGCTAAGTTTGAAATTTGTTTTTGGTACAAAATCTTCCCAAGAGGTTGATTCTGTTCATCTGGACGTAGCGTTTTCAGTGGGAGAAACGTCTCAGCTGACTGCAGTTTCCCCCCAACCTTATAAACAGTACCTTTTCACAATGACTGCAACTAGCACCACTGAATGAACAATGGGCTGTGAGGTCAGTTCCTTGATCACTGGCTGGGGAAAACTTGCAGTCAGCTGAGACTGAAGAAGTAAAATGAATGAGCGACGAAACGTTTCTCCCACTGAAAACGCTGTCCAGATGAACAGAATCAACTTTTTGGGAATTCCTTACCGGGATGATCAAGCATGCATCAAGATGTTACAAAAACTTGATAAAAAGCATAACAATATCCAAATTGCAGTGTTGGATTTCAAATGAAGTGAATGTTTTCACATTATGAGAAGCAGATATCCGTTTAAACCCACAGTCATTAATATGTTGGGGAGCTCAGTTGCACAATATGTGCAACAAATTAACAGGAAACAATTGATGTGAAACACAACACTGCCTCTGAAGCAGTCTTAACATGATGGCCTTCTTGTGTTGTCCTTCATTAAAGAAAAGTGAGAGAACTGTCTCACCCCTTTATTTATTTTACTGACATTTAGAGGGACACAGGAGTTTTCTCTCTTAATTTAGCATTTTGATTTGAAGCTACTCTTTCGCAGTCACCACCAAGCACCAGGCGTCAAACCAACATTTATGATGTTAAACACATACCAGTTCAACTGTACCTCAAAAAAACCCACCAAAGGACGCCCTCTCTAAAGTAAAAGCAGCGCAGACAGTGTGTTGCATTGTCACAAGAATTTGCATAGTCAGTTGGTGAAGCAGAGGACACCTTAATATATATATTTTCATGCTTCCTCCTGATTTGCATATAAACTGCTGGAATTGCAGCTCACACTACACCCATTACAAAGCTGATCAGTTCATTTGTATATTTGCTTATCACCGAGAATAGCCAATAAACACAGTTTTCACTTTATACGTGTTGTTTTGTTACTCTTTATAGAATTTTATCAGAATTTTTACAGAATTTTATCACCTCTGATAATGTTTGATTAAAGCGGAGGGCAATCCGTTAAGTTTGTGCTGCAGGAAGAGTGAAATGATGTGTGAAGGAGAAACCCTGAGTTAACAAACAAAGTTTTTTGTGATAAAATGTTTATTGTGTTTAGAGAAATGTAAAAATATAATAAAAGAGTAAGGGAAAAAAGAAAGAAGGGGGAGAGGAACAGACAGAGGGGCACTGAGTACAATAAAGACTTCAAATTTTACGCAACATCTTCTTTAGCTTTGTGGGTTCAGGCTGCAGTTCAAGATAAGCAACATCCATGAAAATGAGCAACCACTGCTGCCAAGTGAGCAACTGAAGCTTCCTCCGTGTGGAAATCAACTTTGTAGCAGCTATTAAACCAGCTAAAAACACACTTTTCTGAGCCTCATGCACTCTTAATTGACACAAATCCCTTAAAATTGAAAAAAATGGGGAAATGGAACTGAAATATGTTATAAAGTAGAAAGATTTTCTTTAAACATTTCCAAAACGTGGACACTCCAGGACTTTCCCATGTCATGTCATAAAAGGTGGGTTGGCAAAGTCAGCCTTAAGTTTCATACTATAAAATCTTTGTGAAGTCATATATGTCCTATGTACAAAATAAAGAAATGTATTTGTTGATTATTAGGGTTCCTGGAGGACTGTTTAACGATGTCCCAAACACCGTCCCAGTAAAACTAGTGCTGAGGTCTTAAATATCTGTGCACCATAATGAATCCACTGGCAATGGAAGGTTTGTTCTTTTTCAGTTTCATTTGGAAACTCTATGACCGTACCATTGACTTTAACAAATGAAGTCTGGCGACACAGATCAGGTGTCTATGTTGTGAATTAGTAACGGTAATATACTGAGTTCTTCACCTGTAAATACAGACCTCATTGTCTGCTGGGTGAATGACTTGGCATTTACTGTAAAAGTCAGTTTCGAATGTCTGTTTTCGAATTTGCATGTGTACTGTGGAATAACATTTGTGCTTCTCCTCTTGCTTTTTAGCTTTGCTGATTTTGTATTCAGAGAGGATATGAAAATGAGAAATGCTACAAGAGCAAAGAGCAAACAAATTTCCAAGAAGTGTGTACGTGTTATACAGTTTTAAAAGAAATACATACAAATAAATGTAGACTTACAATAGGTGAAGGTTAAGAACTTGAACCTGAGGCACAGGTAAAAATGAAAGACTGAGAAATGTTCGAGAGAAGGAGGGAGGCAGAGTAAGCGACAGCCTCCTCTGCTCTTCAGTTGTCCAAACACTTCTTATTCTTGTGAATCCAGCTCCACAAACCTTAACTGTCATCTTTCTCTTTCTTCTTCAACTCCTTTTCTTTATATTCTTTCTTTTTATTACTATGCATTTTCTCCTTGTGCTCCACCTCCATCTGTTCTATCGCCATTATTTTGAAAACCCTGGAGCATTTTTTTTGGGATGTTCTTTCTTAAGCAGCATTCCTGCAGCTCTTGATTCTTCTGCTCCAGGTTTTCCTTCTCCTTTTCAATTATTTCTTGTCATGCTCACGTTCTTTCTACCGTACCTTCCCTGCCCTTTATTATACTTATGTAGAAGTATTTTTTCTTCTTCTGCACCTGTTTACTCCTTTACTTCTTTTTAGTCTGGTCTTCATATTTTTGCTGCAGTTCCTTATACTTTTCTCTCACCTCTTTATTCAGATGCAGTTCTTCTATCTGCCAGAAGTTTTTGGACTAACACATTCACGGTCTTCATCCTTTGCTGTAACAAATCCCCTTCTGTGTTTTATATGTATGCTTTGGATCACTATCTGCTTGGCCGAATGGCAGCATTTGGCAGAAAGTATTTTGGAAGACATCCAGGTAAATATTTCCATGTACTGCATAGGTGATGAAGCGGACGACACATTGACAGACAGCAACAACATGCTGCAATCTAAAGCCCAAAGACAGGACAATCACATTTAAAATTGACACTGGTGCTGATATGACTGTCATTCCTGACCATGTATTCAATGTGATGTTCACAGATGTAAAACCAGCTCTTTAGAAAGAAAAGATGCCCATACTTGTACAAGGTTTTATACCACTGGGCATGCTAGGGTTCACAAACCTAACACTACAGAAAGGAGAGAAACCAATATTTGTGATCAGTAACCTGCACTCTCCTGCTCAGGGCTAGCGGGCTCAGCTAGTCGCTAGTGGCTAACAGCCCCAAGTCATGAAAATGTATCAGGATGGATGACCAGAGAGCAGATCGTTAAAGCTTGGTAAAGCTGCACTGTGCAGATGCCTCCTTTGTTGTGCATGATAACCTCTAGTTAAAAAGAGCATAATTGGTCATTCCTGCAGCTTTAAGAAACAGTGTCCTCAGCAGGCTACATGAGGGGTAGCTAAATGCATGTGTGAGCCAAAATGAGCCATTGCTCCCAACAAATCTACTGGAGAGACCCAGGTGAGGGCAGACCTGTTTACAATCAAAGGGAAAATGTACTTGCAGGTAGTGGACTGTTGAAATGATATGCTGAAATGGCCAACCTCCACCACATAAAGTTTCCTGATATCACTGTCCATCTGAAATCCATGTTCGGATGTGACGGGGTGCCTGAGATCTTAAGGACTGGCAATGGCCCACAGTTCTCAGCGGATGATATGCCAAACTTTGCTGATACATACAGTTTCAAACATGTGATCAGCAGTGCACAGTACCCACAAACCAACGGGGAGGCTAAACAGGCTGTTCAAAAAGACCAGATCAGTACTTCTGCATATCTTGTCGTCCCACTTACAAATGTGTTTTAGCCCAGCTCAACGTTTGATTTGGTGCCAGCTTGGTTCCACTGTGCTGACCCAGCAGTGCTTCCCAACAGCGCAGCGGTCACTGTAAAGGACAAAGAGAGAATGAATTCACATCAGAGATTCTTCAACAGGCATCACTGTGCACAGGAGTTCAGTTATCCCCCCACGTGGGAACAGGCGTGGTTGAACTGCACTCTAGTTCCTTCCCTACAAAAACCAACACCTGGAACTTTTCCAAATAGCCCCACAGTCATAACCAAGTCAGGCAGAGCAGTTTTGAAACCACAGGACTGGACTGAACTTGTAGACAACTGCGCAAACAAGAGTTTATCCTTAGTTTGAAAGATAGAACTCAGTGGGAAAGCTACTGCATTATGATGAAACTTGGGCTGTTGTTGGGCTGTTGGGCTAAAAAGTTTGTTATCTTCAAAAGAAACAAAAGAACATAGCAGCGTTCAAGTTAAGAATCTGTTCAACAGTAACCAAATCCAAAGTCAAATATTTTATGTTCTCCTTAAAAAGGGAGCTGGTGAGATGTTGGTTATGTAAGGAGGCCCAGAGGATTTTGGGTAACGTTGTTTTTGTTGTAGTAGGGGGCTCCAGTTCTAGTAGCCTCACATTGCAGGAATGAAGGGAGCCTTATACAGTGAAAA